GGTACATATCCTGATACTCCTGTTATGACCTTGGTACATATTCTGATACTCCTGTTATGACCTGGGTACATATCCTGATACTCTTGTTATGACCTGGGTACATATCCTGATACTCCTGTTATGACCTTGGTACATATCCTGATACTCCTGTTATGACCTGGGTACATATCCTGATACTCCTGTTATGACACCATTTATATTAAACTTATGATTATAAACAACTATTGACCTTCGTGAATGAATAATTGATGTGAAACGTAATCCCTGTAATGTTATGTTTTTCAGATTACATTCACCTTGATATCTGGTATGCTCTTCACAGTGGTGGTTGTGCCTTCCTTAATGGGAATTTCGACTGCTATATTTAATCCAGTAAGTAAAAGTTTTCAGGACTCAGTCTATTTTAGGCTTGACCTACTTCAGTAGGCCTGCGCCTATTCTTATCTTAGATTTGCAACTAATGAAACAACTTTTGGTTGCCAATGCTTAATTCTAGTTGCCAAGGCAACTTTAAGTTGTTACTTGGAACTCTGAATTGTGTATGATCTATTTGTTATATATATTTTTTATATGGAGAAAAAAAGATTGCATTAGAGTGCTGATATTTTTTCTTTTTTTTTTCCTTTTTTTTTTAAAACTTATTCTTTGGTGATTTAAAGAAAAATAATTCCATTCATCAGCAGTAGTGACAAATTATCTTATGGCAATAAAAACATGGTTTTCAAAGCTGATATCAATGGTTGTTTCAATAGGTTCAGCCTTTCAGTATTTTCATTCACATATATATGCAGACACATGTACATCTCATAGTTATCTTGACACATCATTACAATTACAGTTTTAGCTCACCAGGCCCAAAGGGCTAAGTGAGCTTATGCCATGGTGTAGTGTCCCTAGTCCATTGTCTGTCCATTCATCTGACCAGCCCTCATGAATGTTTCATTTAAACAACTTCATCTGCAGTCATGTTGTTTGGCTGGTAGCTTTTGTACATGGAGCTCAACAAAGTTTGTTAACAAGAATGACCTTGACAAATTTTCAAACTCACTGAGGTCAAAAATGTCAAAAACTTCTAATGACTTCTTTCGAAGAACTTAAAGGTGTAGAGTCACCATTTTGGCTGGTGGATTCCAGAGATAGATTTTGACAAAGTAAATAAACAAAACTGACCTCGTCAAACTTTCAAGTCACAGAGGTCAGATATCCAAAAAACTTCAAATGGCTTTTTCTGAAGAACTGAACTGTCTTGAACCAGGATATTAAGCTGGTAGCTTCGTTTGATGGAGGCTTAGAAAGTTTTCAAACAAAACTGACCTTGACCTACTTTGAAGGTCACAGGTCAAATATTTCAAAAACTTTCCGAAGAACTGAAATGCCTAGAATCAGGATATTAAGCTGGTAGCTTCTTTTGATGGAGTCTTAGAAAGTTTGCAAACAAAAATTACCTTGACCTACTTTCAAAGTCACAGAGGTCAAAAACTTATACAACTTTATCCCCTGCAGGTTGTGAATCGTGAAAAGAATACACCTGCTGTTACCCACTGCAGAATTGGGGATTTGCTTTTGTGCCCTCTACACAAAAGCGACCAAAATAAATCTGCTGCACCCGTTTCAACATTTGGGATCTTTATATTTCTTTCTATTTCTAACTACCTTCTATTTCCTAACGCCTTGCTTGGCAAAACCTCTCTTTTGGCTTTAGTGTTGAGCATTCACCCAGGTGAGGTAGGCAATGGATTCCATCCCCAGGCCGGGACATACCAGAGTCCTTAATAATGGTAGTTGTTATTCCCTGCTTAACGTTCAGCATTAAGGGTAATGGCACAACTGGTTGTCAGTTTAATATGACAGGGCGGAATGATGTGATTGGTGCCTTTAGCATAGTATTTCAGTGAGGTAGCACTGTAGTCAGCATCAGATCCATGCTATTACAAGGAGGCAAGTATACCAACATTCCCTGTCTCCTCCACATATACATGCAAGCAAGCATACATAACACGCATGGAGGCACGCCCTTAAATGACCTTAGCTGCTAATAGGATGTTAAACAAAATAAAACCAAACAAAACCTTAACCTAGAGAACTGAAAATGCCTAGAATCAAGATATTTGGCTGGTAGATTCCTAGGATGAAGTCTTACAAAATTTGCAAAATAATATGACCTTGACCTGCTCCTTGAGTCATAACATGGAAACATTTTACATCCCCTCGCTAGAACCATATACAATTGCTCGGCTTGAAGAGACAAATTGATTCATGCTACCAGGATTGGCTCAGGGATCCAGCTCCACCCCTGGGCCTCACTTTTTGGGTCATAACATAGAACCAGTTCAGATCACCATTATATAACAAAATATGCATTTGGTGGCCATGAAGAGATGATTACTTTCATGCTACTAGGATTGAACCTGAGGTCCCAGCTCAACCTTTGGTATGGGGAAAGAGTTGAGATCCATATATATAGCTACCCTATAACCATATATCAAATTGGAGAAACAAATAGATTATGTGTTTAGTGTCATTCCTGTTACAAGAGCTTAAGCTCTCGCTTCAGCTTACATTTTTGCACTATTTGATTAAAGTGTACAGTAGTTAACAGGTACAAATATACATGGTAAATTCTAGGTGAGCTATCAAGGTTCCTGGGCCTCCTGGTGGATATCTTTTTTAGATCACCTGGCACGAAGTGCCAAGTGAGCTTATGCCGTGGCGCGGCATCCGTCGTCCGTCCGGTATCCGGCCGGCCAGCGTCCGGCGTCAATATTTTACTTTAAACGACTTCTTCTTAATAACCGAAAGGCCTAGGGTGTTGATATTTGGCCAGAAGCGAAATGGGATGAAGGGCTACAAAGTTGTTAAAATTAATGACCTTTACCCATTTTCAAGGTCACATGGGTCAAATATGTGTAAGACTTTAAACATCTTCTTCTCGATAACCAAACTGCCCAGGGAGATGATATTTGGCCAGTAGCATGCTTAGGTGAAGGGCTACCAAGTTTGTTCAAATGAATAACCTTCAATTATATTCAAGGTCACAGGGGTCAATTGTCTTAAAAACCCTTTAAACTACTTCTTCTGAATAAGCAAAATGCCCAGGGTGATGATATTTGGCCAGTAGCATGCTGAGATGAAGGGCTACAAAGTTTGTTCAAATGAATGACCTTCACCCATATTCAAGGTCACAGGGGTCAAATATGTTAAAAACTTTAAACAACTTCTTCTGAATAACCAAAATGCCCAGGGTGATGATATTTAGTCAGTAGCATACTAGGATCAAGGGCTACCAAGTTTGTTTAAATGTATGACCTTGAATCATATTCAAGGTCACAAGGAGCAAATATGTTCAAAATATTTAAACAACTTGTTCTGAATAACCAAAAGGCTCATGATGTTGATATTTAGTCAGTAGCATGCTGGGATCAAGGACTACTATGTTTGTTAAAGTGAAAAGGTCACAGGGGTCAAATTTGTTTAAAATCTTTAAACGACCTCTTCTGAATAACCATTCAAAAATAATGACTTTGTTTGACTTTCAATCACAGGGGTGAAATGTTTTAAAAAAATTAACAGGGTCTTTTGAATGAATTTTAATCATAAATACTGATATTTTGCCTGTAGCTTTATTTTAGGTCACTTTTAAGGTTACAAGTGTGAAATTTATACCAGGCGAGCAATGCAGGCACATTGGGCCTCTTGTTTATGTAGCACAAATTACCTGGGTTTTGTTTATGTATTGAAGATGCAACAGTTAGGGCATATCATTAGTTTGCATTGGGTGAAGCTTCCAATTTCATATTGCAATAAATGATTTCTGCATTTGTATTATACTTATCTTTGATACAGTCACAGGTCTGTAGGCCATAAGTCTCCATACATTTCAGAATCTAACCAGTCTCTGTAGTATAATAAACCAACAGTGGTGAGACTAAATCATCAACATCTCTTATTCTTGTCCATCCTGGTCAATGTCTTTTTAGAAATGATCAAAACAAGTCCTGAAGCTTTACCAGGGAACTCTGTCTGTGTGTCAGTAATGCACTGTTGGATCTGTGTGTCAGTAATGCACTGTTGGATGTATAGCTTGCCCATTCAAAGAACAGATGTCCTTCTGTTGTTACTGCATTACAGTAGTCGTTGCTGTTAGGCGTGAAGGTTCCCTAGGGGTCCAACAGTGATGCAGTGTAGTCATAACAGAAAAAATAATCTTAGGAATTTTGACCTGTTCTATATCTAACAATTTTTATAATTATTTTTGTAGGATTATGATTATTTAAATGAAAATATGATCAGATGAACATTTTATCTTAATCTCTGTTGTATAATTATGTTTTAATTTCCAATGCAAGACATGATTGGATGAGATAAGAGGCTTGACAAGTTACAGAAAATTTAATATCTTTCGCCCAGTCAAACTTTCGCCCTTTGCAGATAAAATCTATATTGGCTCAGTGTTGATTTCGCCCCTCACATTTAATTACTGTCTGTATAATGTTGTTAATGAATATTCATTATAGTAATAAATCTGTCTTCATTTTAGAGCCAAAAAAGGCAAAAACTGAACTGAAGCAAAAATTTCTCTGTATACATTATAATATGTTATTTTTAGCGCACCATCATCAGATGGTTGGCTATTCAAATCACCCTGCATCCGTGGTCGATGGTCCGTCTGTCATTCCGTCCGTCCTTAAACAATTCTTGTTAGCGCAATTTCTCAATTTCACATGAAGGTTCCCCATGATCCCTAGTTATGCATATCGTTTTTTAGGACTGATTGCAAAACCAACATGGACGACAGGCAGCCATCTTGAATTCGAAAGTTAAAGTTTGTTAGCGCTATTTCTCAGAATGTACTAGAGGGATCTTTCGAAGTTCTGGAGGGGTCTTTCTCAAATTTGACACGAAAGTTCTGGTGGACACCAATATCCCTCTGGGATCTCTTGTTCTATTTATGACATTTTACCCTTATTAATTTTTAGCTCCTGGTCCGAAGGACTATGATGAGCTTATGCCATACTGCAGCGTCAGTCGTCCTCTGTCGTCCGTCGTCAACTTTTCCTTTAAAATGCTACTAGTCCTGAATGGCCCAGTAGATTTTGACCAAATTGGGTTTGGAGCATCCTTAGGCCAAGACGACTCAAATTTAAATAAACAGTGGGTGTGGTCCCCCTTGGGGCAGCGGGGCGGGCCCAATATGAGAAATAGATGTAAACCTTTAGAATCCTTCTTCTACCGTAGGGATTTAGGGATTTCATCCCAATTTGGTCTGGTGCATCCCTGGGCAAAGGGGACACAATTTTGTATAAGCAGTGAGTGTGCCCCCCCCCTGGGGGCAGAGGGGCAGGGCCCAAAAGAGGAAACATTGCAAATTCTTCAAAATTCTTCTGTAGGAATGACAGGATTTTGTCCATATTTGATCTTAGCATACTTTGGTGAAGGGGACTGAATTTTGTATAAACGGGGAGAGAGGCGGGGCCCAATATTGGATAAAGAGGAATAGCTATAATATCCTTTTTCTTCCATTGGGATGAAGGTATTTTAACCAAAGGACTATGTATGGTTTGGGCCTTTTTAGGCCCCCAAATGAACTTTGAAATGACTGTTTATTTTATTTTAAATTCTTCCCCAACACTGTCATGAAAATATTTATTTGTATTTCTAAGTATTGTTGCCATGGTATCAAGTTCAAAATTGCATAAATTAGAAAAAAATGAATATTCAGTTAATTTTGTCATATTTTGCATAGTTTTCTCCTGGCAACTGTAGAGGGCATGCTTGAACAAACTAGGCAAAAACCTGTCAAAATTTACTGAATATTCAAATTTCATTAATTTATGCAAATATTAACTGGTTACCATGGCAGCCATAAATGAAACCTAAATAAATGTTTACATAATAGTACCAGGGAAATATTCAAAATTAAAAAAACACTCATTTGAAAGTTCTATTGAAGATTTTTAATTTGATGGATTTGGGGGCCAAAAAAGGCCCAAACCATACATAGTAGCAGTAGCATCCTATGGGGAAGGGAAATCAATTTAGTATAAATGGTGGGTCTGACCCCCCTTGGGCAGAGGGGTGGAGCCCAATAGTGGTAATTTAGCAATTTCTTCAAAATCCTTCTTCTTCTGTTGGGATGAAGGTATTTTGACCAAATTTGAATAGTAGCATCCTTTGGGGAAGGGAAATTATTTTTTGTATAAATAGTGTGTTTGAACCCCCTTTGGGGAAACATAGCAAATTCTTTAAAATCTTCCATTTCCTGTAGGAATGACAGGATTTTGACCAATTGCATAATGAATATAACCTCCGACTAACCATGTAATACATGTACAATACCAGCAACATCTGGCTATTTCATCTTCAATTTTGCTAACATTTCCAGGTGAGCGATACAGGCCCATTGGGCTCTTGTTCACAATGATCTCTGTATGTAATTGAAGGGTTTGTCAGATAATGTTTTAATATTATTTTCCCAGACTACAAAGGATAAAGGTGTAAGTGGGGAACAAACCATCTTGCATTGTGAAGTGGTCCACCTGATCTCTCCACTGTTTTCTTAGCAAGGTTGAAGTTGCCTGTGTGCTCATTGTGCATCTCTGCGATAAGGTTTATACATTATCACACAATGATCAGCTATAGATCTAGAACAATATTATTTGTTTTATTTTAGGTCATGGATTGTGTGAATGGTGGAATTGCAGCCTTGATCTTTAGTTGGGTAAGTCTTGAAATACCACTTACGCAGACAATTACACTGCAAAGAAGAAAGTACAGACAAACCCTGTTAGCTCGAACCTGTCGAGTCGAAATCAATTGTTCAAGGAATATATGGTATTCCATGATCCAAGGTTAGATTGGCACTAAGGCACTAGAGGTGGGACTGCCGACAGCTCGAGCTGTGCTAATATCGCAGATAGTAGATGATGGAAAGTTAAAGAGAAGTGTAATAAAGATTACCACATTTAATAGCATGTAGCCATCAATATTAAGAATAGAAATAAAGAAACTGTATAAGTAACAAACCTATCATACAAGTGTTATCTGCCATACTTTATTCGTTTATGTTTATTTCAAAGAAAATCAAAAGGAGAACACCTCTTTGATCTTTCTAAAATAATCAAAATAAATAATCCATGTTATTGTGTTGTTGATGATAAGGAAATTAAAAAACAAAATGTATTCAAGTTAGAATATCTTTATCGATGGTCACGAATCTGCGATGTGATATATAATTCCATATTGAAAAATGGTTTTACACACTAGTTAATGAACACTTCTGCTAAAACATAGATATTAGGTTGTCAGCGGTTACCTGGTAAACTGTTTACTGTACCATGTTGTCTGTTACCGGTCCGTTATCTATTAACAATTTCTTCAAATGAGTTCTTATTTTGATGGGCTAATTTGAATTTAACTGGAAGCATCCCTAGGTGGTGGGAACTCAAAATTGTACAAATGTTGGGTCTGACCTACCAGGGGGTTGAGGGGCAGGGCCAAAAAGGTGTAATTTGGCCATATTGCTGTAAGTGACCTCTCTGGAACTAAACAATGGATGTCAACCATATTCATACATGCCTGAACTCACGGCGTGAGGCAACATCTCACAGATTTTCACCTCCGATAAAGTCTCACGGTGTGGGACATGAATTTACGGAAAGTCCTCAAACCCTTACATTTTTTAATGATCGATCGGTAAACCATTTTCCTGTTGTTGTATACTCGAAGTCTTACGAGATTCAACAATGTTTTCAGAAATAAATCATGAGAGCTCTCGAGTAGCAGTCATGTGATTGTTCATGTGATCGAAGAGCTCTCCAGATAACTTCCGGAACATTTAGCTGGTTGAAATGGCCGGGTTGAAATTGTGAGTTGATTTCGGTGTCTTTTACAATATGTAATCCATCTGGACAATTAAAATAAATTCTTATTAAAGATTTAGTGTGATCCTTTCTTATTGTTGCCTTAAATTTCTGTGATACTACAGAATGCCTGACATTCAACCACTACCGACGGTGTCGGCTTCAGCATCAAAATTTCCCGTGAAGTTGATACCTCACACTGTCAGTAGAACTAGCACAAAACATGTTTTCTGTCATGTTTGTAAGGTTAGTTCATTGCTAGAAACTTTGATTAATACTATGCCCAGCTAATTGTTTCTTTACAAATATAATTTCACCACGAAAGTAAAGAGAACGACCGGTAAACATATATAAGGGGCATGTCATGAAGAAGATGGAAAAAGTCTTTGTTCTGAATGCTGAAATATGTAATTTAAAAGTTCAAATACTGAACACAGTTTTCTTCACTTTCACAGCTGATTATTTCTGTCCTCTTGTTAAATGCATGTTTCAACATTCTGTTACATTATCAAGAAGTTCAAATGTAAATGAACAAAGACAACTATTATCCTTATTTTTACAAACCCATCCAATTACATAGTTCAAAGTTTTAACTGAACATCAGTAGTACTGTGGCTGCTGTGAAAAGTGGCCTGTCCAACTAAATTTCGAAATTTAAAGTAAAATCTGCTTCTTCAGTATATCTCAACTATGTGATATTTTGTTTTGTTAACTTTGTGCTATTAAATGTATATAATCATATTCAATATATACAAAAAAAACTGCCAAAGTCAAAACAAAGTTCCTTACTTAAAGATTTTGTGCTTTATTTCATTGATTTAGTTGAGTAAGATAGTCTTTTTGCCGTGAAAAAATGCCGCAAATAAAACCTCCCTTATTTTCACCTCAATTCCCTTAAAAAGGCTGTAAAACTCACAGATTGGTCTCCAAGAATTCTGGCATGTATGCATATTTCGCTATTTTGTTAAAAGATCCTTAGGTGATAGAGATTCAAAATTGTACAAAATTGTGGCAGACCACCAGCCCCTCCCCCCATAACTTTGAAACAGTTTAGATACTTACCCCAAAACCATATGAACAATTTCTTAGCATAAAGATACCGGTATGAACACACTAATGATATTTGAATTGACCTTGGAAGTCTGATCATACCTGCAGGGTGTTTCTATGTTACACCTTGGAAACAAATGAGATCCCCATCCTATGAGAACATATGCAAGTACCAGGCAAAATGAGATGGATGTATTCATGGTATTATAATTAGATGTGGGGTCTGTCCCTTTTCTGCAGGACTTTGTCCCTGGGTCATAAAATATATATATAATTGTGAGGAGAAAGATTTGGATAAACATTGGTACTACAAATACAAGGATTGGCTGATATACATTGGTACTACAAATACAAGGATTGGCTGATATACATTGGTCCTACAAATACAAGGATTGGCTGATATACATTGGTCCTACAAATACAAGGATTGGCTGATATACATTGGTACTACAAATACAAGGATTGGCTGATATACATTGATACTACATTACAAGGATTGGCTGATATACATTGGTACTACAAATACAAGGATTGGCTGATATACATTGGTACTACATGAACAAGGATTGGCTGATATACATTGATACTACATGAACAAGGATTGGCTGATATACATTGATACTACATTACAAGGATTGGCTGATATACATTGGTACTACAAATACAAGGATTGGCTGATATACATTGGTACTACATTACAAGGATTGGCTGATATACATTGATACTACATATACAAGGATTGGCTGATATACATTGGTACTACAAATACAAGGATTGGCTGATATACATTGATACTACATTACAAGGATTGGCTGATATACATTGGTACTACATTACAAGGATTGGCTGATATACATTGATACTACATTACAAGGATTGGCTGATATACATTGGTACTACATTACAAGGATTGACTGATATACATTGGTACTACATGTACAAGGATTGGCTGATATACTTTGATACTACATGTACAAGGATTGGCTGATATACCTTGATACTACATGTACAAGGATTGGCTGATATACTTTGGTACTACATGTACAAGGGTTGGCTGATATACATTGATACTACATGTACAAGGGTTGGCTGATATACATTGATACTACATGTCCAAGGATTGGCTGATATACATTGGTACTACATGCACAAGGATTGGCTGATATACATTGGTACTACATTACAAGGATTGGCTGATATACATTGATACTACATGAACAAGGATTGGCTGATATACATTGATACTACATATACAAGGATTGGCTGATATACATTGGTACTACATTACAAGGATTGACTGATATACATTGGTACTACATTACAAGGATTGGCTGATATACATTGATACTACATTACAAGGATTGGCTGATATACATTGATACTACATGAACAAGGATTGGCTGATATACATTGATACTACATGAACAAGGATTGGCTGATATACATTGATACTACATGAACAAGGATTGGCTGATATACATTGATACTACATATACAAGGATTGGCTGATATACATTGGTACTACATTACAAGGATTGACTGATATACATTGGTACTACATTACAAGGATTGGCTGATATACATTGATACTACATATACAAGGATTGGCTGATATACATTGGTACTACATTACAAGGATTGGCTGATATACATTGGTACTACATGCACAAGGATTGGCTGATATACATTGGTACTACATTACAAGGATTGACTGATATACATTGGTACTACATGTACAAGGATTGGCTGATATACATTGGTACTACATGTACAAGGATTGGCTCTATCCCCGGGATCTTATTTTGCCATGCTACCTTTAATAAGAATTTTTTGCAGTGATTGCTTATGTCCAGATGTGTGATACAGGCTCTCTAGGCCTCTTGTCTGGTGTCAGACCGACAACTGTATAAACACAATGATTCCCTGCTGTAATCTGTGCCTTAATATTAGATTTGATATACAAGTGTGACTACCTTTTTGATAAACAAATAGCATAAATACTAAGGACTGGAGCGGTTTGGGATGAATTAGAGTTTGTAAAACATCGGGTATTCAAGTAATGGCAGTTACACTAAGCTAAGGTTACGTTACAAAGAATAAAAAAGAACAAAGTTGGAACCAAGTGAACCAGTCATCAAACAGGGTATATCCAGTGATTTGAGTTGTATTAGGGTTTCACTGTAGTAATTAGGGTTTCACTATAGTAATTAGGGTTTCACTATTTTCTTTCTTATATTGTAGCATATTCCTACTAAGTATGAATTTGAGATAATTATATCGCCAAAATTTTCTTGCTAAATCGATCAGCTTATCTGGTTCAATCGACTTGACATGATAGCTATCTTGCTATCTGGTTCAGTCGACTTGACATGATAGCTATCTTGCTATCTGGTTCAGTCGACTTGACATGATAGCTATCTTGCTATCTGGTTCAGTCGACTTGACATGATAGCTATCTTGCTATCTGGTTCAGTCGACTTGACATGATTGCTATCTTGCTATCTGGTTCAGTCGACTTGACATGATTGCTATCTTGCTTTCTGGTTCAGTTGACTTGACATGATGGCTATCTTGCTTAATCAACATAAATAGCTGAAAATGATGCCCAAATTTTTTCGACACTCGCACTGTGAACTACTGCCATCACTTATTTTTTCGACACTCGCACTGTGAACTACTGCCATCACTTATTTTTTCGACACTCGCACTGCGAACTACTGCCATCACTTATTTTTAGCTAACTGTCAGGAAATGCCAGTTGAGCTCATGGTATGGTGTGTTGCCCGTCGTCCATCAACTTTTTCTCTAAATGACTTCTTCCCAAGTAAAAAGAGGACCTAGAGCCATGATATTTGGCTGTAGTTACCTGGTACAGGGTACTATAAACGTTCCTAAAATAAATTACCTTGACCTACTTTAAAGGTCACTGGGGTCAAATATGTAAAATTCTTTAAACAATTTCTCCTGCTTTACCAGAAGCCCCTGGGTAATGATATTTGATCAGTAGCAACCTGGGTTAGAGTAGTATCAAGTTTCATTTGGTATGGAACATTTTTTAGTCAAGGAGGCTTAAAATGATATTTGAAACAAAATTACTTTTCTTGAGAAAAAAGGGACATATATTTAGGCATCTAACCAAATCTCTTGACAAAACAGTAGTTAGTTTGTTGGATATTCGTTATTTAGTAACCTTATTATATGTTCTACAAACTTAGTGAAGAAAAACAAAATCTGTTGGTAAACAGGGTCTTTAGAGTTTGTTCTGCATCAGTTATGCTAAAATTTCATATTAAAACACTTTAAAATTTTCTTGAGAATGGGAATGCCTGGAGTTGAGACATTTGGTCAGAAAATTGCTTGCATGGAGTTCTACAAATTTTATGAAAAGGAATGACCTTAACCCATATTCAAGGTCACATAGTCTGAATTTGTTTAAACACTTTAATAACTTCTTCTGAAGAATGAATAACCTTAAGTCACAATATTTGGCCATTAACTTTCAGCAAGGATTCTACAAAGTTTGTGAAAAGAAATGACCTTGACCCATATTCAAAGTCATAGAAGTCACACTTGTTTAAACACTTTAACAACTTCTATTTAGGAACATACAGATTTAGAGTCACAATATTTGGCAGGTTAAGCTAACTTGTATGCAGTGCTAGAAAGTTTGTGAAAAGTAATTACCTTGACCTATATTCAGGGTTGCAGGGTTAGTATGTTTTCAATCAATTCACTCTAGCAACTTCTTTTGTTTAACCAAAAGGTCTAAAGTCGTATATTTTTTTCTTGTAGTTTTCTGACTTAAAGTTATACAAAGTTTGAGAAAGGAAATAACATAGACCTTTATTTAAGGTCATAGAGGTGAATTTATTAAAATACTTAAATGACTTTTTTTAAATAACAGAAAGACATACAGTCATGATATTTAAAGAGTTAGTTGCTGGCAAAGAATAAAAGCTTTGACATTTATTTAAAGTTACAAGGGTATGATTTGTTAAAATAATCAAATGGCTTAAGAACCAAAAGGCTTAGGAGAATGACAATTTGCTAGTAGCTTATTAGCATGAGTGCAAGAGACCACATAGATCAGGTGAGCCTTTAAGGCCTATTTGGCTCCTTGTTATAGAAAATTGTTAAACAATGACAGTAATATGACACAAATTCTAGTTTTCTAAGTGTCCACTCTAGGATATAGAGACATTTAAACACCATACCTAATAACCTATAGGAAGACACTCTAGGATATAGAGACATTTAAACACCATACCTAATAACCTATAGGAAGACACTCTAGGATATAGAGGGGTTTAAACACCATACCTAATAACCTATAGGAAGACACTCTAGGATATAGAGACATTTAAACACCATACCTAATAACCTATAGGAAGACACTCTAGGATATAGAGACATTTAAACACCATACCTAATAACCTATAGGAAGACACTCTAGGATATAGAGACATTTAAACACCATACCTAATAACCTATAGGAAGACACTCTAGGATATAGAGACATTTAAACACCATACCTAATAACCTATAGGAAGACACTCTAGGATATAGAGGGGTTTAAACATCATACCTAATAACCTATAGGACGACACTCTAGGATATAGAGACATTTAAACACCATACCTAATAACCTATAGGAAGACACTCCAGGATATAGAGGGGTTTAAACATCATACCTAATAACCTATAGGAAGACACTCCAGGATATAGAGACATTTAAACACCATACCTAATAACCTATAGGAAGACACTCCAGGATATAGAGGGGTTTAAACATCATACCTATGGAAAGGTTTTTTGGCTGAAGAAAATTATGATTTTTTTTATTTGTTTGTGAAATCCTGAAAAATGTTGGTATTTATGTCATGAATGTTTAACCTGTGTGATAGATACAGACAACATTAGTTATACCATGATTAATCTTCTCTTTACAGTGGGTGATGCTGATCACTTGGTGCATGGTAGAGGACCGTAAGAAAAATGGATTACAACCAGACCAATATCTCGCTATACAGCCTTTCGTTTTTGCTGGGGTACTTTTTCTTCCCTGGATTCTCCTAGGAATTATCTTCTGCAAGTTTGAGTGGAAGAAGTATAAATAAACATGTTAGAGGTCTTAACGTGTTTAGTGGAACCAGTATAATAAAACAGGTCTGAGGTCCTGTGTTTAGTGGAACCAGTATAATAAAACAGGTCTGAGGTCCTGTGTTACTTGGGACCAGTATAATATAGCAGGTCTGAGGTCCTGTGTTACTTGGGACCAGTATAATATAACAGGTCTGAGGTCCTGTGTTACTTGGGACCAGTATAATATAACAGGTCTGATGTCCTGTGTTACTTGGAACCAGTATAATATAACAGGTCTGAGGTCCTGTGTTACTTGGGACCAGTATAATATAACAGGTCTGAGGTCTTGTGTTACATCACCCATCATAACCAGAACTTCATATAACTCTGATGATTTATACATTACACTCTTACCTTGTTCATATGCACTCATTTTTTTCTTTAACTACGTATTTTCATTGGAATCATGCTCTTTTTTACCGAAAAATTAGCCAAATTTTGTCAACTCTTCTTACAGTTTTTATGTGAGTTATGCCCTTTCTGTTAAACCAAATCTTGCTGATTCTGACTTTCACACATTCAGATTGTAATGTTCAGAATAATGCTTATAAAATATGTTAATAAACTTTTATGAAATTTCCTTTAAAATGTCATCAATTCATGTACACGTACAACTGTACATTGCAGTTTACATTATTGTTGGAATATGTATGACTGAAGGGTATAAACTAGACTGGCACTACCACTTCTAGTGTTATCAGGTACAAACAATATATATTATACTCAGTCCAATCAGGATTTTTGTCTTATTCATCCAAAGAATTCAGACAATGATAATGTATAACAAATAGACTCTCTAAATCCAGTCAAACAATTGTCAAAACTCTGTACTCAGTAATCCTTTCCACATCACATATATTCTAGAGCAGTGAAATGAACAATTAAATGTTTGTCATGTATTTCATGTTTAAATATGTTTGGATAGATCATACTTTAAAACATGTAATCAACTCTAAGTATTCATTAATGTGAAAAAGAACGTAACCTCATGAAATCAGAATGTGTTTACTGTTATAAAGTGGAAATTGGTTGTCATATTTCTGGCAAAAAATCTCAATTATGCAAATTGTAAGGTGTCACTAGTACAAGTATAAGGTGTAACATGTACAAGTGTAAGGTGTCACATGTACAAGTGTAAGGTGTCACATGAACAAGTGTAAGGTGTCACTTGTACAAGTGTAAGGTGTTACATGTACAAGTGTAAGGTGTCACATGAACAAGTGTAAGGTATCACTTGTACAAGTGTAAGGTGTCATATGTACAAGTGTAAGGTGTCACATGTACAAGTGTAAGGTGTCATATGTACAAGTGTAAGGTGTCACATGTACACGTGTAAAGTATCACATGTACAAGTATAAGGTGTCATATGTACAAGTGTAAAGTATCACATGTACATTTATAAGGTGTCACATGTACAAGTGTAAGGTGTCACATGAACAAGTGTAAGGTATCACATGTACAAGTATAAGGTCTCACATGTACAAGTGTAAGGTGTCATCTGTACAAGTGTAAGGTGTCACATGTACACGTGTAAAGTATCACATGTTCACGTATAAGGTGTCACATGTACAAGTGTAGGGTATCACATGTACAAGTATAAGGTCTCACATGTACAAGTGTAAGGTATCACATGTACAAGTATAAGGTATCACATGTACAAGTATAAGGTGTCATATGTGCAAGTGTAAAGTATCACATGTACATTTATAAGGTGTCACATGTACAAGTGTAAGATGTCACATGTACACGTGTAAAGTATCACATGTGCAAGTATAAGGTGTCACATGTACAAGTGTAGGGTATCACATGTACAAGTATAAGGTCTCACATGTACAAGTGTAAGGTATCACATGTACAAGTATAAGGTGTAACATGTACAAGTATAAGGTATAACATGTACAAGTATAAGGTATCACATGTACAAGTATAAGGTCTCACATGTACAAGTGTAAGGTGTCACTTGTACAAGTATAAGGTATCACATGTACAAGTATAAGGTATCACATGTACAAGTATAAGGTATCACATGTACAAGTATAAGGTCTCACATGTACAAGTGTAAGGTATCACATGTACAAGTATAAGGTGTCACATGTACAAGTGTAAGGTGTCACATGTACAAGTGTAAGACATGATCAGGACTACTCCAGCTGAAATATTAGGTCAGTACTTAATAAGTGTATTTTCTTGCAACTGTTAGCCAGCAAACATACCCAAACAAAGTTCGTTTTACCACACCTGAAACGTATGATTGGAATTTGTAAAGTTTTTTATTGTTGAAAACAATATGGGATGCTATTTTTATTGTTTTTTAAATGTTTTTTGTTTGTTTTGATATTTATTGTATTTATTATTGTATTGTTATTGAATTGTATTATTATATTAATACATGTATAATCAAATTGTTTAAAACTGGCAATCATCAAGTAGGATTGAGGATGTTATAACTCCTGATGTAGACACCCCAGTCCAATATTTATAACATTTCCTCCACAGCTCTCACCTCATTAAGTCGGACACAGTGGGAGAGATATTGTGCTTTAATCATTTAGGATGAATTTTGTTAAGGTTTTTGATGATTTCACAAATGAACATTTGTTCGGATATATTTACTGTTTATACTAGAGATGTAGCCAGTGAAGTGATAGGTACTGGTGAGGCCACACACATTGTTTTTACTCTGGATTTTCTCAATACATGAATAATATGTGTTCTAGGTTCATTTTTTGTAGATTTCGGGTTGTTAACTGGGTGTTTTTTTTGTCAAATTCATTATTACAGAAAACGTGACTGTCCTCTGATATATAAATGATTCTGATCTACACAGAAATTGGTTGATGAAAAATTCATACCAACGCAGATTTTCTGAGGACTAAATCATATCTCTTTTGATATGTGATATTAATCTTACGTAATTGTGGAATCTACCTGAAATTATTTTGAAAAATTATCATGTTTTGTATATTGCAAGGAACCTGTGATCAAGACATATTTTTGAGAAGTCTGTAACTCTTTAATATTTTTGCAAATGTGTTTTTATACCGAGATTAATAACAAATGTGTGGTTTTGTATTTTTTAACATATGAGTCGTTTTACCATATCAGCTCAATTGTTTTCCTGTACATATGGTAACAGATTACTTATTTGAATATAGTATATTGTATTGTCATTGTGTTTTATGTTTTAAGGAGAACAGTTACAGAAGGGAAGTGCTACAGTACCACAACAGTGCGACTGTATGTAAAATCTGTCTTATAGACAATTTTGAGATGAAATAAAAACATGAAGTTGATAGGAAATGAACACGTATTCAGTGTTTTATAGAGGATGTTTCTAATCAGATTAAACAGAAAAATATAGCATGTAACTATGCAACACATTTTCTAGAATTATGTATTGGTAGTGATCAGGAATATTTGTCTTAAGGAATACTTTTGATACACAAGATATTTTGTCCTTTGAACACTTTTTTTATCATACATACTTATACATAACCTGACTCACTGTTAATATGAAAGGCTAATTATTGCATTTGTAAATATTTCTTTTACATATAAATGATAAAACATGACTATTATACGCCCGTCGAAGACGGGGACGTATTATGTTATCACGTGAGCGGGCGNTCAATTACTCACAAATACTTCATATATTTCAATCATACAAACAACTGCTCATTCAATGTGTGACGGGCGTATTATATACCGCTCGCGGTAACCTTGTTTTTATTATATAAACATAAAATAAGATCGGTACAATTGACCTTTCCAAAGTGCTATTTTGTACTGTTTTGGCAATATGGGTTATGAACACGTGAACTGTATAAAGGGAGATGTTTAAAACAGTTTGTATTTAAACTTCGTCTGTTGCTGTACACGATAAAGGACAAGCATGTAGGAACGATACAACATTCAGGTGTTCGCACATGCACAATTTATTGACACCGTCTTATTGAAATGAAATTCATTTGGAAATGCATGTCGATATGCAGTGGCGGATCCAGAGACTTTTCTGGTGGGGTTTCCAAATTTCCTGGGGGGGGTTCCATGTGGGGAAAATTTAAGGAAAATGGTGAAAATACATGAAAATTCTCCCAAAAAAAACCTCTGCATCCGCCACTGATATGGTTAATTAATCATTGGCGTAGGACAGTGTTAATGTTACTGGCTAGAGTTATTAGCGTACCCATGAGTGTATTTTTGAGTGTACAACTATCGTTATTATTTGTAATTGTGAACCTTTATCTTTATACTATTATACGACATTCAGGTAATGATGTGGTTATGTGTAAAGTGACAATCAAATAACATGTTAACTATCCTTTGAGACACAATGAACAGGGTTCGTACAGGCCTTGAAAGGGTCATACAATTGATGCAAATTAAAGGCCCTAAAAGCGCCCAACATTTAACGAACATGTTTTGAAAAGGTCAAAATGAGCCTTGAATTTGACTAAATGGTCATTAAACTATGAGTGTATATTAATTCTGGTGGTTTAGTTTTATGGTGTTATTCTCGTAAAAATGAGCTAAGAAAATACAAGAAAATAAAAGATGTTTGTAGTGTTTGGACTACCGACCAGTGGTAGATATAGAGTTTGGTGTTAACATGGTGAGTTTAGAAACATCCATTCATTATCTTATATTTGGATAATTTGAAAATGACATGAGATTGAAGGCCTTAACTTTACTGAAAAATTCCCTTTAAAATGCCCTAAATAAACCTTGAATTGCATAGAAAAACCCTGTACGTGCCGATACATGCTGTGTATCTAATTAATTGATTGTTAGCTTGTTTGTCGGGAAGCAGATGTAGATCATGTAGACATTTAGTTGTCTTTACTGACTCTTTGAAAACCAAGCAATCGTAGTTAAAATGTAACACCTTTAAAAGTTAATGTATAGATACTCCAGCACACCAAATTGACTAAATAGTTTTACTAGATGTTCCAGTTACGATCTGTGTTAGAAATTTAAGGTAGAATGTTTCCTACTCTCAGCTGTGATATATCAATATATATGCATAATTCATGTTTGTAACCTCGATTTTCACTATCTGTTAATAAAAACGTTATCCTATATAGACGTGTTTATACCATTGTGTATTGCTCTGTATCGGGGACAGGATAATCATATCCTTGTCGGACTGACGTCAGAAATGATGTTTTAAAGATGGCGGTTGGTACAGGCAACAACAGGTTGGTATCCACCTCAAACCCGAAAATCATGGTTTGGAAACATAATCTGACAAATGAGCAAACGTTACACGAATCCTTCTCCTGTCGGAAACAGCTTTCTATACAGATTATAGTTTCCGGGAGTTCTACAAGGATTGGCAACACGCCTTTGAAACGCAGTAACAATATGTTTCTTATCATTCGGTTGATTTCGTGGCCTCTTCTTTTATCAGAATACATCGATGAAATCATGGCATTTATGACCATAAGTTGGGATAAATTGTGTTAAAAATGATCTGGGAGATATGACGACGTCTGATGCAAATAATACGATGGTCTGGCCAAGGAATGATCTGCTATTTCATTTATACAGTAGGAAAATATATATATAATGGATCGCAAAAGCACATTCAGCCTTTTCCAATTGAAGGTACATGTTCACGGAATGAATTATAGCTGTGCAGCATTATCAGCGTGGTCATTATCTGTCGACGCGTCATGTGTGTCGGTATATCGGGCCAGATGGTTGTACTTTTACATTGCTGTCAATAGATTTATCCTAACGGTGCTTTAACTATTGAAATACATTTGTGTTGCCCGTTGCAATTGTTCTCTTAAGCATATTTAACATGATGGGCACCCTAGTTTTCACAAATGAACTGAAAACGATGGTCCAAATGTAGAAAGATGTTCCAAGTCAAAACACGTACACGTACAGCGCCTCCACTTCCACAGAAACATGTTCTCGGCTACCAAATATTTGTATCTATACCCACACATACAATGTTTCATATCCTTTGTGATACCCAGTTTCGTAGAGAACACATTCGGTAATAATATATATGAAATAAAGTGAGAAATGATACAATATTGGTATTTTAGTATTCATATCAGCTGAAGCTCATTTGTTTTTTGATCCTGCAAAAATTAAAACAATGACACCAAAACAACGTGGAAAAAAGGAGCACTGTGAACCTATTTAATCCAGTGAATATCAAGAAAATTTGGTCATCAGAACTTTATCAATCGTTAATTCAACAAAAACTGGTTCCATATCTTAGAAGAAAGTACCTTTTTTATCAATTGTGAAAACATTCATAGAGTTCTGATGACACATTTGGAAGATATTGTCTAAAGTTTTATCTGCTTACGATCAAAATGATAAATTTCACAAAAATCACAAATTACATAAAAACCGACACTGGCAAAAGAGCGAGCACAAGGACATGGTATTTTCTGTGTATTTTTTTTTTTAAATTTTCTCATATTCTCCTATTTAAAATATGATATTGTTCAAAATTGTTCATCGGTGAAAAAAATATTTTTCACAAGAGCAGATCCTAAGTGACATACACAACTACCGAAACTTTACGTGATATGATCTCTTCATTAATAATGTTTCGGCACTGAGGCAGGTGGGCTTACATCGAACCTAAATTTCATAATAATGCTTATATATATATTCTTCTTTTGTACTGTTCATTTGCAGTTCGATCCTTTGAGTGGCATTTGTGTATGGATGAAAAATGAAATAAAGTTTAAATGAGTTGAATATAATCTAGAACGGCTATAACACTGTGGTATAGTTTATTTCTATTTCTCAGACACATGTTACATGGTGCACTGTATCTTATAGAGGTCGTATACCAGTATTTGAATCACAGATTTGTACCAGTTGTCATGTGTAGCAGACCCTCTG